TGCTAAAATGAAAACTCAGAAGTTTTGTGTACACTATGCACAAAGTTATATGATGTATATGCACATTTACAGCGACAGGAGCAAGCAGTAGGTAGAAAAACAAAGTCTGAACGTTAAACATAGAAAATCTAAAATACAAAACTCAGCATGTTTTTTACAATGAGGGTGGTCAGCTGCTGGAGAAACAGACCAAGGGAAGTAGGAATTTTTTCATCTTTTTATATCTTAAAATGAAGACTGGATACCTTCCGTTCATTATGATGTGGCAGCCAAAAAAACCCCAAGGAAACGTGTTAGAGAACAAAACAGACAGCATCGTTTTTCTGCTGTGTAAAACTGCGGTGAGCACACATTCTGACATGTGGAGACCAGACCTGCACACAGTGCTCGTGAAAGGCGTAGTAAAGTTGAGCAGGTACAGAAAAGAGCATTTAATGTGATCCTGGGGATGAAGCAGCTGCCTTTGGAGGAGAGACTGGTAAGACCGTGAGGCCTTAATTTTCACAATGCTGAAGCAAGATAAGATCAAGGTTTACAAAATCAAAAAGTAGCAAATAAACCACATGCAGAACTGTCATTCATGAAATCCTGCAATACCAGGAGCAGGGGGCATTTGGTAAATCTGGGAGGAGTGTTTCAAAACTGAGGAAAGAGAAGTGCTGCTTTACCTAGCACGTATTTAACTTCTGGAACTTGCTTCTGTGAGACATCCTGGAAGCAGACTACACTTGCAGGTTCAAAAGATGTGAGTCAAACAGCAGTGCTCAAACTGGAAATGGAAAGGAATAGCCAGGGATGTACCCTCTGACATCCCTAACAGAACAACTGGAGATGGTAGAGGACTACATGGGGACCAGGCTGCAGACAGTAGCCAGGCTTATGTGCCCTCCCCAAGCAGAATCTCCTCCTGTCCTGCCCGAGACAGGGACAAACCCTGGCCACTGGCTTCAGCACACAGGGGGATGCTGAAAATGTGATATCCTGAGGTTTATAATGTTTTGCATAAGATTATCAAACAGTTCTGTTTGTTTGTCCTCAACTCTATGGCTCCATGATGTTGGATGGAGGGCTTTAAAAATCTGCAGTGAACTAAAGTAGTTACCAGGCAGGAAACACAGGAAAATGGGTAGAACCAACAAATAATTCAAAACTAAAGCAACCACTGCATTTCAAAGCCAGTGCTGAATCTACTCCTCATCAGTTCACACTTTTTGTGCCAAAAGCATCCCACACAACTGAACTCCCCAACTCAGCAGGGCAAGGGCAGGATTTCACTTTGTTTGCAGAAGGCCCTGAACCTGGCTTGCAGGGAGGACTGCTTGGGACATGCCCGACTTGAGGGGGCTTGCTAGTGTGTCATCTGCAACAACATGCAAAAGCTATACTCTTGGTAATCAATCTAACTGTGTTTTCTAGTATCAACCATCAGAATATTTAGTGTTTTCTTGCATTATCCTTGTACTGAATTACTTGCAGCGAATTTGAAGGCAAGGGTAATTAATCCAAGATGTATGTATGTTTATACAGTGTCTGAGCTCTGGCTGGTGCTGACAGGTTTATGAGAAGTAAATTATTACTTGTTATAAAAGGATTTATTTTACTTTTTAAGGAGCCAGTCTGGAGGTTTAATCTGATTATTTTTCCCCAGTGCAAGACTACACAGACTATTTTGCTTTTTTGCTTGCAACTTCACTGCTCCTGCTAGTAGGACAAGCACTGAAGCTCCATCACAGTTTCACTAAGGGTGCATCAAAGTCAAATAGCACTGGGTAGGACAGAGAAAGTGAAGGGAAGAGACCTCAACATTCGGGAGCACAGACACATGATAAATATGGGAATAGCTTTCAGATACTAAGAAATTATTAGGAGAAAATATGATACATATTTTTTGGTAGGAATACTGTCAGGATCAGCTTCATCAGTTACACAAGTCTTACCTAATTCCATAGTGGGTGCTGAATACGCCATGAAGCCAGCGGAAAGAAATTGCATTGGTCATGCTGCATGAATTAAAAATGTTATTATAAAGGGGATCAAATTAAGGCTGCAAGTGCATTTCCTAATTTATTTTCTACCATTCTTTTAATGTGGATGCTTATTATAGTAATAATTAAAAAAGCTATGCAAATTCAGGGTGAAAGAAAGCATATGATGAGCTATATGTATGCACAGCAGGCAGTATTACAATTAACTTGATCACAGACAAGTCTCTTGCACATAGGTGCCGTCAATTCTGATGCTCACAAAATAAAAAGGTATATAAAGAAATGGGATAAACTATGGTGTATACCAGCTTGAAAACATGCTTCATGTGACCTTGGATGCTTATTATTTTGTCCATTGACCTTCAGAAAGAGGCTAAAGAGACCTCTGCTGTTTACTTTCCTCTGAAGCTGATTAGTTATGTGTGGACATATAAATATCAGAAGGCTAACACAATGTAGCTCTTCAGAGACTTAACAATATTTACTGGTAACACATTTTTTCATATAAATAACCAGATTTATATCCACAGGCACAAATGAGAGAAAATTATCAACAAACATTAAAAGCTAATACAAGAGCTGACTAATGCCAAAAGCAGGCAATTGTCAGGTGGCTGGCTGTTGTGCAAGAGAGTGGGAAAGAAAAGTAAGTGTATTCCCCTGGAATTAGACTTTCACTTTCTTCCTCTGACCCTACTTGACAATGCTTTTTATTAGTATATTGTTTTTTCATTTTTACAGCACTTTTAAAATTTCATTTTTACCTCTGTACCACCAGTAGTATCTTCAGCACCCAACTGGCAAATGAAATATGTCATCAGAAATCTTAATTTTCTGGGGGACTAACCAAATATGGTTTTCTCGCTGATCAGAACCATTTCCCTGTACCAGTTCCACCAGTAGTTAAAGTATATCCATTGAGCAGTGAAATGTGCTCTTGTGCTGTTTGAGACCATGAGAAAGATAATATGGTAAGAGTGGTAAATGAAAAATCAGTATCAATTATCTTTTGAGAAAAGGGATACAGCAATTTTTGTGCCTGTAGAAAAAAATAAAAATGAAGAGAAATGGCTTCATATGAAATCTCCAGATAAACTGATGAGAAGTGGCAAATCTACCTCCTGTGCTTGTTTTTAATTTGTTCATTTTGGATGGATGCAGGATGTAATCTTAGTCTGCATAAAAATATGGGAGCTGTATTACAGCGAACACCTTTTACGAGAGGCTGGGTGCTGTAATAAGTGCCACGAGATTTCCAACTGGCCTCCCTCACTGAGAATAAATTCAGAAAAAGCACTGAATGGGTTGTTCTGGGATTGGCTGTTGCACCCTCCATGCAACAGCGATGAACAGACTATCTTTGTATGGGAGTGTGGTGAGAACCATCTGGATAAGCGAGAGGACCCTTTGGCACATGAGCAAACAAACCCAAACCACACAGTAAATTGCCTCAGCCAATTCTGGGCTTCTAAGTGAAATTTTGTATTTTGAGTACAAGTTGATTCTGCCCTTTTATTGTTGAAACAAAAGAAGAATTAAATAAAAATATTTACACTGACAACATGCAGCAGCGTCACTAAGCCAACATCCCTATTCCCCTCGACTCATGTTTGCACAGGCCTATTTTCTTCCAAGACTAGCTTTCCAGCAACGTCAAACCTTAAGGGTGGATGGCTCCAAGCCACGCAGCCCATCGCCTACCCCTGGGCATCTGCCAAACCTCCCTTGTACACACAAACGGCTAACAGGTTTTGTACAAAGAATACAAGCAAAAATCTGAATAAAGCACATTTAACAACATACAGATAGGCATCTCCAAAGCTCACATGTATAACTCATTAATGAGATGTTTCACTTTTCTGAAATTCCTCATCTTTAATGCTCTCAGGCACTGAAGATTAAGCAGATCAATACTACTGCCACCATTTCACAGACGGTGGCATCATGGCTTTATTCAGCTTCTACCAAAAGGTGTGAAGACCTGCGTGCTTCTTCTCTTGTGCTCACTAGTTTGAAGAATATTTCTTTAATGACTTAATTCTGTCAAGAAACCAGAGGGATCAGAGGTCCTAAATCTCATTCTAACCAAGAGTCAGATCAAGATGCAGATTAGATCCAACCAAGGTCAAAGAAAAACTCCTTCTCCTGCTCCTGGGGGAGCTTTTAAACACCCTCACGGACACTGCGAGGAAAGAGAAGCAGGGATCAGCACGTGGGGTCACTGCTGTGAAAGAAGAAAAACAACAAAAAGAGCAGCAGTAACGGCCTCCTGCCCGCTGTCCCCATCCACTCCCGGCCAGCCCAGGCCCTGGCTGATGAGAGACAAGGGCCTGCACGATCGCCCACGGTTGACCTTCACCTCTCCCCACACCAGCACAGGCAGCTTTGCTCCAAAGGTGTGCAACTACCACGCAGGGACCCCTCCCCGAATCTCCCTGACTGGCGTTCCACGGTTTCAGCCCGTTCTGAAGCGCAGGCCCTCAGCGCCTTTCCCACCAGCTGAACCACCCGCACAACCATCTCCCCGCCGTCCCCTCACCCCGTCCCGGGATACCCGTCCCCTCCTGGGGCTCCTACGGTTCCGCCCCCGTGTTGCTGGCGGGCGG